ATTTATCTATGGACATTTTTTCCTTGTCATTTAACTCTAGGCTTGCCATGAAATTAACTGAGAATCAACTATCATGATGGTTTAAATTCTCTGAAAATGTGAGGCAAAATACATCTTTCCTATTCATTTCTTTCAGGTACTTTGATTGTAGTAATGTAAAGTTACCTATAATGGAAACTGTTATTTCAATGAAATTGATGCTTGAAATGGGGTGGGGGGGATTTTTAGTGCTCATAAGAATTCATTTATTTGAAAGTAGGGGATCCACAGTTTGTCTCAAAGAGGATCCATGTTTATCTCAAACATATCCAGGACACCCAGAGTTGGTAATCTTTTCTCTAAACAAACAATGCTTTGTGGTTTTCTATTTCTCATCTCTAATTGTCTGTGTGTTTTTATCAAATTTTCATGAATATTGAATATTTCTTCTGGGACATATATCTGAGAAATATTAGTTCAGATGTGTTTGTGATGGTAGGAGTTGACTATAGATAGCAATATCAGCAAGACATAGTCCTCAAAAAGTCATACACTGAAAAGTAGCAATGACACTAATTTTTCAGAGATGTTAAATTACTTTCCATTGCAGTTTTGTGAATACATATTTCTGCTCAAAAATTTCCATAAAACAAAGTCCTAATTTGAACTTCTTACAAGAAACTTGTCATATGCATGCTGCAAATAATCAGCTTTATATATTTTCTGTATTTTTTTTTGTTTTTAGATTGTACTTCCATTACACGTCTTTCTGGCATTTTCTTCTTCAAAACTCTCCTACAAATCCCACCTTCCTGCTTCCTGCCATATTCATGGACTTATGTTTTGAAAATTATTATTTTATGAATATATGTATTTTATACATATATGTGATATATATACCATTTCATGAATATATATATATATATGTATGTATGTGTGTGTGTTTGTGTATGTATATGTGAAAATAGCTAGTTTATTATAGAAATTGTCCTGCTAATAGATTTAAAAATCCATCAGAAATTTCATGTCAGTCAATTATATAATGACTATTTAATCACTATTAATATTGTTTCAGGTATATGGAAGTACCAGCATTCCTACCCTCATCTACTGGTACAAGTCTCAGGAATACATGGCTAGCTAGCTCATAGTTACATTTACTGGTGAGTCTGGATACCTAGGCAAAGAGCAGCAGACACCCTCATTCTTAAGCTGGTTCATTGTTGTAAACCCCAAAATGTGTTGAGGTTCCCTGCTTCTCATGTCTATAATGTCTTTTGTTTTATTATCTGAATAATGATACAACACAAATTACTACATTTTAGAGCCCCTCCCCTCCTACCTTCCCTATTTTAGTTTTATATGTTAGGTCTTTATAAAGGATTCAATCTGAAATTATCAAATTTGAATTTTCCCTTTTGAAATAAAGGTCAAATCCATGTGTATCCTTAATCACAAACATTACTCTTTCTAATTTTCTTGCTATACAGATGTGGCAGTATGAATGATATGCTCCAATATGCTCATATGTTTCACTATTTAATCCCTCTAGGAGAAACTGTTTGAAAGAGTTTAGGCAGTGTGGCCAATTTGTAGGATGCATAGCATCTGGATGAGCTTTGGGTTTTTAAAAATCTGCTTCCATCCTCTGTGCCCTCTTTGCATCCTGCTTGTGGATACAAATGTGAATTCTGACATATCCCTGCTGTCCTGTCATGTCACTCCTCCAGGCCACTGAAGTCATAAGCTCAAGTAAAGATTCCCTTTTATAAGTTATGTTGGACATTGTTTTTTATCACAGCAAGAGAAAAGTAACTAAGCACAAGAGATTAAGAATCTACCTATGAAAAACATCTTGCACATTCAGAAGTGAATAAAGAAAGGAGAGGTGGATAACAACTGGACCCTAGTTTCTTCTTGTACCCATGATCATGTAGCATGGGCCTTTGTGTTCAAAATTTTACTGGATCCTTTTCTTTCCCAGGAAAAATTTTTCTTGCACATAGAAAACCCAGCAGACTGACAGTATAAGGGAACCAGTGCTAATTTATTTCTTGGTAGAATTGGATTTTATTGACACAGAATTTTGATGTTGCTAGCTCAAGTTTCTCTAGAACAGGAGTTCTCAACCTATGGCTCAGGACTCTTTTGGGGTCTCACAACCATTTTACAATGTTCACCTAAGACCATTGGAAAACATATATTCACATTATAATTAACAACAGTAGCAACACTACAGCTGTGAAATAGCAATACAAGTAATGCTATAGTTGAGGTCACCACAACACAAGGAGCTGTATTAAACTGTCCCAGCATTATGAATGTTTAACTTTCTAGAAATACTAGGCTGCCTGAAATTATACTATCTATGCCTCAGCTAGCCAATGAAGGAATTATCAAAAAACACTATAAAGCTTGGCGTTATACTCTGCATAAACATTCATAAATAAAAAACATATAAGATATGCATTTATATTTTAAAGTATATATATATATATCAAGCAATATACTAAGTGAATAATTATGTATCTATCCATAAATATACATAATGACTAGAAAATGCAATTAGCTTACACAGCCATCAACTGAGAGATTGATAATGAATATATCACATGCATATACAGTGAAATTTTATTCAGTAACAAAACAGAAATTTTGTAATTTGTAAGAAAATATCAGAACTAGAAAATTTATACTGAGTGACAAAAACAAATGTCACATTTTCACTTTCACAAGCGGATATCAACTTCGAATGTGAGATTAGAATGATTAATCTGGTGTCTGTAGAGTTTGGAAGGTATGAAGCTCTGATGATAGAAGGATTGAGAAAAGACTTTAAAGATGAAAAGATATAGGAGATTGTGTATGATGTGAAGATAGACAAGAAGTTTAGTATGGGCATGGTAGAGAATATTGGAGAGGAAATGATGTTGAGGAATAACCCAAAGTAAATGTCTATAACATAAAATCCATAGAACACACTATTTTGTAACTCCATTTTAAAAGCAGAATAACTTGTATTCATAGTTCTGGAAGGTGCTCTGTAAACTACTGGTGTAACAAGAAATGTATCAAAACTTTTGCTCAGACATTGGACATTTCATCCTACAATAATGGCCATCTTCTTGGCTGGAAGCTAACAGATACAATATTGACAAGTGAAGCACACTGCATGGAGAATTATGCTCACTTATAAGTCAGAAATTATAAAATGAAGATCCTAGTATCTTATGCTGGATGATTTTTCTTACCAAGAAGTAAGTCATAAATTCAGTTGCTAAAGACAGCATGAATTTTAATTGCAGCACACAGAGTAATGATGTTGTAATGTAGCTGAGTGTCTTCTCCTGCATGACTTGTATTCATAATTCTGAAAAATTCTCTGTAAACTCCTGATGGATCAAGAAATGTATGGAAAGTCTTTCTCAGTCATTGGAATTTACATCTTACAATAATGACTATCTGCTTGGCGGGATATTAGATACAGTATTTCCTAGTATAGGGCTAACTTAGAGCTTATAGATTAGATTTGTGAGCCTACTCTGGCAAAGAACTAGTATTTAGAATTTCAAAGCTGGTTAAAAGCAACTTATATGCCATGTGACGGACCTTATAACTGATGTTTTGCTGAATAGGCATGCATTCAAATGACTCCTCATAGCTGTGTTTTACCTGTAGATTATGGATGTAGCTATGGTCTTAATTAGAGAAACTCATACTTGTAGTGAGCAGTACTTAATGCAAAGGCCTGCAGCACTCAAAGAGCCAAGGATAAGTGTGGGATGCTCAAGTTATTCTTAACATGATGACCTTGTGAGTATCATCCATTTCAGTCTCAAGTAACATCTCATAATGAAAAGAACATAGTAACTAGAAGAGAGCAAGGAATTCTGTGAAGCAGTAATTCTGGACATGACTGCTGTGCTTATGAACCCATTGCTGTGGCTATCTTCATAAGATCTGCACATGATTAGCTGCATCTCTATATCCTTATGCATCAGTAAGGGCCATTTCTCACAGATAAGTTATTTGCAGTTAACGTTTACTGGGAAAGTATGTCCACTCTACAGCCTTGTGGACATTGTTAAATTGCTATGTTCCAGAAAATAATCTTCACTTTATGTTCAAATAAGCAAACAGCAGTGTACTAACTGACTCAAAGAAGAAGGAGGAGAAGGAGGAGGAGGCAGCAGAAAAGGAGGAGGATGAACAGAAAGGGGAAAGGTAAATTTTAAAAAGCATTAGAGATGCAGGGGAATTGTTGGGAAACAAAAACTAAAATTCAAGGACACTTCAGAATGTAGGAAAATTGGTAACCTTCCCAAAGCACAAGAAAGGTAATTTAGCCTGAAACTATTAAATTTTCTAAAATTCAGAAAATAGTAGAAGAGAAAATAAAATTTTATCGATAAATAAAAAACAGAAACCCCCTAAAATTATGAACATAGGAAGGAAATATTGAAAATAAACAGAAAATAATAAAATGAATATAACTTTTTCATTGACAATTGTACATATAATTGGAATAAAACCTACAGTCAAAATAGGTAACTCAGCAATTTGTAGAAAAAAGAACCATTTTTTCTTAGTAAAGAAACTAAAGACATTGTCTGAAAATTAGGGAGTTAATGACCACACTTTACACAAATAGAAAACCAAAAGGAAGTAGGATATGGAATTTAGGGCAAAGGCATAAATTGTGACAAATGAAGTAAGTAGATAATAAAAGCAACAGTTTAACAAAGGAATATGTCTCAAATTTCTAACTGCTTTATTCAATAATTAAGGCAGACAAAGGCTGTCTTATTACTGAGGAAAGGTATTCACTAAGCTTTATCCCTTTCAGTTCTGGTTGGGTTACAGGTACCTGTTCACTATTCTCCTGAGGCAGATGTAGTATTTTTGTTATTGCAGCTGTGAGGCTAGAAATGCATGGCCAGTGAGGTGTAGCCAAGAGACTAATGCTCCAAGGCCCTCAGCCGCAACCAATAATCTGAAGTTCCTTAACATCGCTATGTATCTCACACAAAGAAGGAAGACACTTGACTGCTGGACCACCCTAAGAAAGATGTTTTTGATAAGGTCTGCATTACTGTGACAGGATGATATGAATGGTGGAAGCAGTAATAAACTCCTATATCCTCAGGTTCCACCCAGCTAATCTTCAATGTGAAGTCTGTGACTGACCCACTGCCGCTGAACCTGTCTGGGACCCCAGAAAACCTCTTGGAAACCAAGTAGATCAGGAGCTGTGGAGACTGGCCTGGCTTCTGCAGGTACCATTCCAAATAGGTATTCCCATTACTGTGTACAATGCTCTGACTAGACTTGCAAGAGATTGAGGCTTGATCTCCAAGACTGACAGACAGGGAGAGTGGAGTTTGGGTCAGAACAGCATCACCACTGGAAGCTGTAATAACAATAGAGAAGTTCAAAGATGTAGACAAACTTTGTTAATAATATATTTTTTGTTTTTGATATAGACTTCAACTGAGAGGTTTCTTTTTCCATAAAATTCTTTACCCACTAAAATTACTTTTAAAACAAAACAAGAGAAATGAAAGTCATCAAAGGTTTCTAGGCATAACTTATACCATCCTGTCTGTCTCTGTCTTAATCACTATTACAGCAAATTTTCTCTCTCATTTGGAACCTCCCTTTCATAGAAGCAAAGCTCTCAGACCCCATGCTATAGGATATGATCCATCTTCTCATAAAAAGATAGAACAATTGCGATTATCACTGGAACCAGCACTCATCTTCCCTTCCCATTTTCTTTTCTTGCTTCCCTCTGTTCTTGCCTGGAATCCTGAACAGCAGCAGCACCAACAACCTAAGAGGCATCTTCATTTTGAGGATGCAGCCTGAGGAGGTTGATCAGTCACTGTAAGGTGACAACTGAGCTTTTATCCTAGACTAGTAAGGGTGTCTCCTCCCTAGGGGGCAGTATGTAAATACTTGAGTTAGTTCTGGAGTATAGATAGAGGAAAGAACTATGCAGTTATCTCAGAAAATTGGATAAAATATTTTCTATTTTCTGGATGACAAGAATAAAACAAAATTTGAAGCTTAGAGGGAAAAAGTGCTAAACATTGTCCATCAGGATTTCACCAGACATGAATCAACAATTCTCAGTGAATTCCTTCTTCATTAATTTTACAGAAAAAAAAAAAAAGATGTCATCTTAGCAATGTTAAACGTAGACATAAGAAGCTGACTTTGCAGTGGTCTATTGACTAGTGCTCCATGATAGTGCACGAATAAATAAAAACTACTAGGAATGGATATCTTTAGTGTTTATCATGAGAATTAAAATATAAAAATGATGATTAAAATAAAGTGTCATAGAAAATATGGTTTGAGGAACCTTTGGAAGTGGGTGATAGATCTCTCATGTTTGCGGCTAATAGTACTTCAAAGGGAAATTTCAACTATTGTCTTTTATATGACTTAAACATATATAGCTTTTTATATATTAATTATACGTTATTAAAATAATATAGTTACATCAGTCCTTTTGTACCATGGTGATCTTTGAATAAGATTAAGTTTTTAGGCTTGGTGCCAGTGCTATTTGAAGCTCAGAAGAAGCTTCATTTGAACCTGTTTACAGGAGAGTTGTTCAGCCTCTGATATCTTATTCCCACTTGACCTGACAGTTTGATATGCTTCACTGCACCCACTAGGAGATTTGCATATTTTCCCCCCTGGAGGACCATTCAGGCAAGTCTAAGATAAATGTCAAGCTGGACAATTGTGGGGCAGTGGGCTGTGAGAAAAAGCCAGAAAGCTTGGAGCGGTTTGGGCAGAGATGTAACACTTTTCCCTCCCAGGGCACTCCCGGGCTGCCCTCGGAGAGAGGGAACCAAAAAGAGCTGTAACACTTGCCTGCCTTTGGAGGCTGGAGCAGAAGCGGACCCTCCAGTCTGCTCCCCGCCCTCTCGGGGCCAGCGGTCCAAGGCTGCTGTAACTGCGATTTGAGAAGCTACCTCGGCCTTGCCCCGCGTGACTGAAAAGCATGCTGCAGTCTAGCTCACGGCCGTGACCCCACCTGCCTGCCCCCGCGTGAGCTTTGACCCACATCCTTGGCTCGCCCGCGGTCTGCGCTGCTGAGTCCCACCAGGAAGTGAGGAAGTGCCGCCTGTGCCCTGGGCCACCTCTCCGCCATCAGCGACCAGTGTGTACCCGCCCATTCCTGCTCCTCCCCCGC